AACCGCTGTAACGAGTAAAACAATTAGTTTTAGCGTTCACTGGACAGAGATACAACACCAAACAGTGTACACAGAGCAGGAAGTAAACCGGAAATGACTCAGTACGCTTACCGTCAGCAAGGCAAGGCCACGCTTTGAACATTCATTATGTTGTCAAAAAAAAGTCAGTCTGTGCCTCACCTTTTTGTCTGCAGACACTGCGAGCAGCAGGTAAAACCTACATGATCTTCTTTGTGGTCGTCATCTTTCTTGGCTCGTTCTACCTCATTAATCTTATCCTGGCCGTGGTTGCCATGGCATACGCCGAGCAGAATGAGGCCACCATCGCTGAGGCAAAACAGAAGGAGGAGGAGTATGCTCAGATTCTGGAGGCGCTGAAGAGGAGGGAGGAGGAGGTTCGTTCTGACACAACAAACATTCTCATTTTTTTTAAGGGGGTAGTAGTATGCCTTTATCTATTAATAAATTAAATTGTTTTTTTTTAAGTTTAGATTATTAGATCTAAACGTGTATGATGTAGTGTATGATTGTTAAAGAAAACATAATAAAGACAGAATTGTAAAAAAAAACTAAAGATTGCTAAAAAAAAATTCAAATCACTTGTTTTACATAAACTTCATACAATATGCTCATCAGTTTAGATAGAAGGTTCCCTTAAGCAAAAAGGTTGGGAATCACTGACCTAAACACACACAGCTGAACTCGTGTTGTTATTATAGCAGGTGGCGTGCAGAGCACTCTCAGACAAACAAAATTCAGCACAACAGGAGAAGAATTCATCCACAGAAATAAAAAGCGACGAGCAAGAACACACTACCATGGAAGGTAGGTACCTAAGCTAACCTAACACACACAACACACACAACACACACATATAAGATTTTATAAACCCATATATGTATCGCACCACACACTTTCTTACAGCCAATAAACACTGTTAGTATTATCAATACATTAATACAGATATACAGATGCAACCACTGACCAGAGACCAGCAGAGGTTAATATTACAACCTCCCACCTCCCCTCCCCCCAACTGACTGAGACGATCTTTCAGTGAAAACCAGCGTGTGTTTCAGACTTTGAGGGCGACCAGAGACCATGTCCTCCCTGTTGGTACCCCTTCTCTGATATCTTCCTGAAGTGGAACTGTTGTGGCTGTTGGCGGTGGCTCAAACAATGTCTCTACACCATCGTCATGGACCCATTTGTTGATCTCGGGATCACCATCTGCATCGTCCTCAATACTGTCTTTATGGCCATGGAGCATTATCCAATGACAGAGGAGTTTGAGGAGCTTCTGAGCATCGGAAATCTGGTGAGTAAAACATTTCTATTAAAAAGAACCAGACTGAGGGTCCCAGTGTCAGCGGTAAGGAGACATTACTGTAAGAAATCAAAGTAGTCATCAACATAACTTAAGTACAAATGTATTTATGTTAGTTAAAATAAAAACTAATAAATATCCTCTGTATTCATCCTCAGGTAAAGAAGGGAATGTGCAATTATGTGATTAATTAGATTATCTGCTACATAAACACCACAGTGTGATCACTAAATGTTACATTAATATTATACTCCTTTAAATACTCCAGTAAGTTAAATAATTTCAAAATTGCATTCTTTGCTTATTGCTGTTAAATTATGATTTGGAAAAGTAATCGGTTACTCAGGTAAGAACAAACCATGTGGTCTTTTATGTAGAAAGAAGAAAATATTAATATAATACCTCGCTGTGCTGGTCTGTTCTACCATCAGCCTCATGAAAAAGTATTGGTTTAATACTGATGCCTCTATATGACCTAAACAATATTAGAAGTACCCATCTGTCCCTTCTCAGACAATCCGATATGGATCCAGATACATGGGCTACAATATGATACAGGGACATTTTCAAGTGGAACATTGTGATATGATGGAATACGGTCTAAACCTACTCTAAAAGGTGTCCTCAGATAACTTTTGTTATGAATTGACAAATACAACTGAACTGAGTTGAATTGATGCAATCTAGTACAGTTCTCAACATTTGTTTAATGTAGATGTTTATTTCCTATTTTAAATGGAAATAAGCCAATTCTATAAAAGTGACATTGCTTACCTTCAAACAATAGGGGTGTAAAGATTTACTGATACGAGGCAGAAACCAATTTTAACTTTATAGATGCGTGTGTCACCAAATGGATACATCTGTTCACTGAAGCTTTGCTGCTAATAGCCTCTCCACTATCAATTCAATTCAGGTCAATTTTATTTGTATAGCACCATTTTATAACAAAAGTTACCTTAGGACACTTTTTAAATAGAGCAGGTCTAGACCGTACTCCTCATAACGTTATTTACAGACCCAATAGTTCCCAACATGAGCAAGCACTGCACAAGCGACTGTGGCAGCATAACTAAGGGATGGGTCAGGACTCACCTGAGCCAGCCCTTACTATAAGACTCCCGAATCCTAAGTCCATTGTCTGATGCAATTCGTTGTTATTAACTTTAACCAGTGCTGTCTCTGTGCTGTAATGAACTCTAAGGATTGTGGCGATACACAGCTCAATACAGCTCAATACAGCTGTGACTGTGACTCCTATGTTTTAATATTTTAACTTTTTTTAAAGGGGCAATAGAGCTGCATTTTGTTTGCAGTGAGTCTGCAGCACTATTGACAAAATAAACAATTTAGGAGGGACTAAAGTTATTATAGGAGTCCTCTGTTAATTCAGACTGGCACTTGAATTAAATCACGATGGAATCTCCTCTTAAATTCAGCTCCAGCACTTGTCAGATGACATCTGCTGTAGGGAAAGTTTGCCCTAATGGCTTAGAATCTAGTAATAGGAATTCAAAAGTTAACAATAATCTGATTTAATTCATTCACTAGAACAGCTTTAGAGGACAGAGACCTGATGTTTAATAGTCCACATTTTATCTTTTTTTGGTGCTACTGTGGAGATCTTGAAAGGTCAAAGGTCAATGCCAGGTCCTGCAACAATACGACTGGGTGCTATTCGATTTGATTCCATACAGTATCCATAAGATTCTAATGACGTTTTTTACCTTCAAATACACATTTTTTTTATTATGTTCTTGCTTGTGCTAGCTGTATTAGCATCCACAGACTCCTCGCGCCTGCATAGGTGTCACCATGCCGTTGCACCTAAGTAGCGCCACGGACGGTCCGCCTCTTGTGTGGGTGCTTTGTTT